TCCACAGATCATGAATGGGAATGTGTGCATAAAGTGATCCAGACTGGATTATCATACCATGGGGAAATATGAGAATTTTGGCAAGCCATTGGCGATTACATCGTGAAGTGCCTCCGCTCCTGGACAGTGGAAGCGCTGTATGAACCAGCACCCTGGATGAAGCTGAACAAAATTGCTCTACCCTGATTCATCCACCTGCCCGGCCTCAACAGGGTAGTATATATGAAACAGGAAGATGCCAAGCAAGTGTGCCAGTTCTGTTACCAGACTGTCCACACAATGGCTCAATGCCACCACCATAAAGGTAAAACTACTCAGGATTACAGATACAACCCCATCTGGGGGATCACCAAGGTTGGTACCAAGACTTTCCTCCACCTGAAATCCAGAGAATGGATCCCGTGCAACCTAATGGAGGTAGCGGACATGAAACACAAACAACAAGAGTTGGACCTGGCACATAGAGAAGCATGGGAACAAGAAGCAGCAAAGTGACCTGAAGCAGATGACAAACCACTCATAAATCAGAACCCCAAATCTTATGCAATGGATGAGGGAACTGACCCCAGACCAGCAGAGCAATGTCTAACCCAAGCATAATGGATGGTCCATGTGGAGGAAAGATGGCAGAAGGCGAACCCAAAAAAGTCCCCCAAGAAAGGATGGATGCAGGAAGCCAGCAAATCAAAATTGAAGCCTGGCAAGCTGAAAGCAGATACTAAATTGAATTGGAAGTCATCAGCAAATAAACCTGAGGTGAACGGCAAAAAAGAAGCAGGTGCAACGTAATTGACAAATTTGGCCAGACAATCACCAACTAAAAAATCGAGTTCTGCCACTAAATCGAATGAAGAGGCGAGAATCCGAATGATGGATGAGGGGAAATCTGCTGGTCTGCCAGCAGGGGACAAGGGGCACCCAGACCCAATCATAAAATCATCCCCAACATCCATCAATATGGAGATGGGGATGGTGACCTAATTCCCAGTACACAGGATGCCCAGTAATATAATCCAGTCCCAACTAACCGACTCCAAAAACCGAGTAATACACACCATCAACCATTGACGCCACCATCATCTACCAACCAGACCTCAGTACATGATTCGATCCACAACCCAGACAACGCTAAACCTCATACCCGTGGGTCAGGCAGCCAGAAATGAAGATAATGACTACAAATGCTTGGGGGATGGCAAGCATACAAACGAGGAGGAGGAAGATGCACCATTATAAAACTAATATTAATATTGACCTAATTTTTATTTCAGAAACACAATCTGGTAACCAAAAGGAAATTGAACTGAGCTCAAACCATAAAAAATCACCAGTGGTCCCACCAAATAGGCTACCAAGCCCTCTGGATGGACCATGTGGCGATCATCGCAAAGGACAATAAAATAGTCCTGAAACTCATAAAAGAAACTCACGCTGGAAGGATCTTGATTGCGTTGGCTACAAACAGAGAAACTGGCAAGAGCATACATGCAGTAGCAGTCTACACCCCACCAAAGCTCCACAAAGACTGTATTTTTAAGAAATTCTTAGCAGAAGTGCTATCTGAAGCAACAACCGTAATAGTAGGAGATCTGAACTGTTAGACGAATGTGAGCTGGGATACATTCCTGACAAGAGAACATCCCAACAGTAAGGATGACGAGATGCTGGATTACCTAGTCAAATTGGGGATGTGCCTAACAATTGATAAAGAGAATGATGACTCAGCCAACTTAACGCAGTGGTAATACTACGCCGCTGGATCCCCACTGTTGGCAACACATTTAGACTACATCCTTATGTCATTGGATCTCAAGCTGATGATGTCCAACAGCGAGGTTAGCATAAATGCCAAAAGTGACCACATGGTCATCTGTGTGGATATCGATCTTGATGAACCTCCAAGAAACCATGAGTGGCAACTGGTACCAGCCATGCTGAGGGATGGGGAATAGCGCCAAAAGATTGACTCTGGACTGGATCGACTGGTAGAATATCTGGACAACTGCCAAGAGTTGAATCCGCTAGAACGATGGACCCAGATCAAAGCAAAAATGAAGCATGATAGTATGAGTTCAAAAAAGTGACATCCTACAAGCGAACTGCCACCGTGAAGCAGCTGAAGTCTAAATTAGAAAGGCTGAGGCTCACCTGGCGGGACAGCGACGACTGGTGGAGTGAGTACTGAACAACACACAAAAATTATCAGGCCATAATGATGAAGCAAGACTCAGAAAGATGGACCAACGTGACTTACCAATATCAGAGACTAGCGGGGACAATGACCAAAGAGGGCCTGAAGCACTTCAAGGAAATTTGAACCAAGGCTAGAGTATGGGAAGAGGAGACAGCGGAAGGGGGAGTATCAACAGACCCAAAAATGATCAAGTGCGAGGTTGAGCAATTCTATGGTGATTTTCTTTGAAAATGAGAAACAAGCGAATCAGTGGCAAAAACCCTTATTGACCTGGCCAAGCTGGCACTGGGGGCTGTACGCCGGAAGATGTCACCAAGCTGTCCACAAAAATCTCTATTTATGAAGTTAAGAGGGTGCTAAAGGAGTCACCAAGAATAAAAGCACCAGGCCCTGACAATATGTATGCAGAATTATACAGCATATTCTGAGACTGCATCGCACTGGAGCTCAAAGCCCTCTTTAACCACTGTTTACAAAATGGCCAGCAAATTCCAGGAGGCCAAGAGACCCAAATCATACTTCTGTACAAAAAGGGCCTCAGATGCCAACTTTGGAACTGGTGCCCAATTGTGCTATCAAACGCCAATTATAAAAAGCTCACACGCATACTATCTAATTAGCTGATGGAAACAGCACTGCACATGCTCCATAATGCCCAGAACGTCTTCGTCAAAGGCTGTAGTATATGGGACAGCATTGGTTAAGTTCAGAGCGTACTCCAGGATGTGAAGGGCATCAAACAGGGGTACATTATGTCCCTCAACATGGAAAAGGCATATGACCGAGTAGTTTGGTAATTCCTTCACAAGACACTAAAGGCAGTCGGTATCCCCAACACTTTTTGAACATGAATAATGACGCTGTACTCATGCCTGATAACAAAGGTAATCATTGCAGATGGCGTAACCAACAAAATCCCTGTCAGGTAAGGTCTCCAACAAGGCGACCCTATGTCACCAATACTCTTTAATTTTGCAGCCAACATTCTACTGGCGGCAGCAGATGCAAAGCTCTGGGTTTTAGTCCACCCTAACCAAATGCCACTGAAGATGCTAGCATTCGCTGATGATACAGTAATAAGCATAAGCTCACTGACTGACCTCCAGGGCGCCGAGGAACTATTAAACCTCTACCAGCTAGCATCAAATGCAAAAATCAACTTGGCAAAAGCCTCAGTGATGAGGGTTGGCAACTGAACTTCATCCCGCCAACTGGCACAATGCTGATCATGAACTTTCAGACAATCCTATACCTTAGGATACTCTTCAACAATAAGGGACCAGCGGTACTGGAGACCAAACAGGAAGTATTGTCAAGCCTATCAATCTGAATGGCATGCTGGAAGAGCGCCATACTATGCCTCGAGGAGAAAGTGCAGGCAATAAAATATTCATCTTCTTGAAGTTGTGGTATGTCGCTCATGTGCTGCCAATGAGCCTAAATTTGGAGAAGAAAATTAGTACAATGCTCCGAACCTTCCTGTGGTTCAAGGAAAAGGCAGCACCAATACCGCTGGAAGCCCTGTCAAAAACAAAGAACGAAGGAGGCATAGGGCTCCTGGACTTCAAATCTCACACCCAGCATATATGGGGGAAGTTGTTCCTGAAGCTAACACAGACGCACATGTGCTGCCCGACCCTTTCATGGGGCGTGAACTGGGAAAGAGCCCAAGGCATCCAAGAGCTGGTTTCTCCCTGCTCAATATGAGAATTGATGGCGCACCACCCATGGATAACCTCCCAAAAAGGTACTCCACACTACTGGCGACTAAGCAATTGGGCCATGCGCCAGGGCAGATGGTCATTTGTTTGATTGGACCAAGACGCCAACCAAATTCAAAGGGACGTCAAAACATGTAGTTCCACAATGATTTCTGCAATGAGCTAGGAGGAGCATAACTGAATTGCTGACAAATATGCAACTAAGTCGTTCAAAATAAGGTACAAATTGATGCTGATAGAAGCTGGGGATCTGCTTCTGAACCCAGGGTTTAATCCAACCACCCATCCACAAATCCTAAATGACTGGACTAACAAAGTCCATGACACCAACTACCCAATGAAAAAGTTGATTCTGGGCCTGAACTCCCATTTGGTAATAGCCAAACAGCATACAGTAACCTAACGGATCCTAAATCAGGAATTCAAATTGGGCAAGCACAGTGGGCTGGACTACCAGCACAAAGAATGCCCCATATGAACTGAACTGGAAGCAGACATAGCCCACCATTACTATGAATACACCGTGTTAAAAAATACTGGACCACGATGCATCACATCCTATAAGTCAAACAATCGCTGCTGGGAATACATCCATCACAGGATCTTTTCTTCACAAAAACCCTGATAACAGCTCCAATCCAACTATGAGCCTTCACCTACAATTTTTATTATGGGTAATTCACTGTGCGCTTGTCGCTAAGGGTTTGAGCAACGAGCGCTCTTATCACAAGGTTTGGTATTGAAGACCATTTAGATTATTTCTGATCAACTTTGTCAGATCTCAAAAATTTTTGCGCCTAATCCCCGGGTGTTATAAAGCTTCACATTTTGACTTTCCCCACTGGATCACTTGTCATATGTGATGAGGCAACTAATCATCTGAGAATTGAATGGCCTGTAAGCCCACCAATGCTAGAACCATGGCTAGCAATACTGATCGCCAATCAGCAATAGTCAGAGGTGCTAGATCTCTAGCAGCCCAAACCTCCGGTCCTTTTTACCCTTGGCTTAATCGCCTGTATTCCGCCCTCCCCTCTTACTTTACCTTAAAATAACTTTCAAATAAAGTATGGAGTTTTTAAGAAGATTGGCTCAGATGGCAGAGTGTCCACCTAGTAAGTGGAAGGTCAAAGGTTTGATTCCGCTAAGAGGCATATAATTTGTTTTTAAATGGATTATTCTTAAAATCAAGAGGATAAGTTAAGTCTAACTATTGTCCTACCATGATCTCATAAGTGAAAAATATAATTTTCCTATTAGTCATAATCTATGTTAATAGATTTATTTTTTGAGCAAAAAATTCAGGAGCTAGTATTATATTAGTGTGTGTAGTTTTAATAGACTTTATAATTTTTATAAAACTTCTCTTTCCACTTGATTTCAATTTTAGCTAATTTTTAAAGTAGAAATTTAAAATAAACTACTCAAAGCCACAGATTTACCATTCCACCCTGATGTCCACAGCCCCACCACCAATTGCTCCAGTATGAACTAGTGGTGAAACCCCTCCTACCATTTTATGCCTAGAGAAAATATGTTTGGAGAAGTTTATTAGCCTAAATCTTTTAACCATCATTATGTTCCTCCAAGGGACTTAGCACTCCTCCTCATGCATTGATAAAAAGTCATATTTTCTTTATCTATTATACTTTGGACCATTAAGAAATCCTATCATTATATTACTGCAAATGCTTCTAACCAATTCTGATACCAAAACCCTTACAGCAAAACATACCTGAAGTACCCTGCTGTCTACCTTCATCACTAATTCAGTCATCAGGCCAGTGCCTCAAAATCCTTCTTCCCAAAACCCCAACTAGCCTCAGCCATCAGTCAACAGTCCAACTAATTAGGCGGAGGCTGGACTTCCATTGCTCCCTAGTAACTTCCCATCTACACATTTACCCTTGCCCTTATGTGAATACCCCATTCCAATTTATCCAAACCCTGGCCATTATTGGCTATAATTTCTAGACTGAGGGGATCCCATTGAACTCACTAATTTCTATAAAAAAGGCTATTTATCTTTTCTAATTGACATGGTAGTGACTCATAACCCTAAAGCTAAAATTAACTGCACAGATAATGCTACCTTTAGCAAGCTCTTGATGCTCATATCCAAGCTGAGCATGATCATGAAACATATACTGATACCTTTATTGCAGGGCACAAACTCTCCCCTTAATCTCACTTGGGCGATATCAAACCCTATATGATGGGTGCCCCACATCCTTCTTCCATCTTGGCCTAACCTTGTTTCATTAAATGCCACTGAAGAAGTTCCCCCTGATCCCCCTCCCCCTCCACCATGGTCAGCTAGAGGTTCACCATTGCCAACCTGGTTGGTTTTGGGTTTGCTTAGTTTTGATTATGATAACTTGGACATTTTAGCCCATTTTATACTTTATTATCTTATTTTTTTTGTAATTCACATCCCCTGGTTGACTTACCTCAAAAGAATTCAAATTTTATTTGTATGTTAATCAATCTAGAATTTTGGAAAACATTCAATTGAGAACAGAATTACACCAGATAAAAAATAACAAAAGTCTGTTTTTGGTTCTTATCATTAAATAATATAAAGTACATCCAAATATGATTTTTCTAAGTTAACATTTGTTCTGGACCATAACTTTTAATTATTTTTTACTCCAGATCTTTAACTAAATTTAAGAAAAAAATTGTTTATAAGAGGGGAAAGGGACAGTGTGTGTTTTGTCCAGATTAAAAGAGCTGGGAGGGATTGTCACCAGTTTATTACCATTTCTGACCATTCCAGATGGGCATTTACATACCCTAGCCAATGTTAAAGCATTAATGGACTTAATGGCCATGGTACTTTTAAGTGTTTCCTCAAATTTTATTTCATAAGAAAACTAATCCAGGATTAATGGTCAGTTATGAGGCCTTAGGACAAAATAGAATTAAGTATAAGAACTTTTAAGCTTTTCAAGCTGATCATCAAAAGGTTCTAATTGGTTTCTAGCACCATACTCTGTAGCGGGGTGCTCTTGACTTATTTGCTTGGCTGCAAGTGCTGCGTGAACAGCCCAGATGATATAATGGTACAATTTTCTCAGAGGTGGGTTGTTTAATTCTGCAACTTTTATTTAAAACAGGAAATTTGTGGGGTATGAGTCATGGATGGTTCAACATATAATTGTGACTGCATAGTTGCCCATATATTTTAATATAGCACATCTAATTTAACAGTGGTCGTAGTCTGCTTTGGGTTTGGCACATAATGGGAAGTCTTTAAAGAAATATTTAAACTACAGTATTTGATACCTTTATTACTCAGTGTAGTATTCTCCAAATTATTGATCATTAGTTGAAGGAGACTAGCTTGTTTTCTAAGCCTTTGATCATCTCTTTCATGTTGACTTTGGTGTTATGGATTTCCCTCACCCAGTCATAAAGTAATTGCGGCATTATTGGGGTTTTGGCAATGGTTTGTGAGTGTTTGTAAATTAAAATTAGCTTATTCATATATAAGATAGTAATCACTTTGTCGCCAAACTTGTTTTAACAAATCTAGCTCTTCCCATATAGTCATTTCACGCATTGCTGAATTTTGGTAAAATGTCCCAATAAAACTAGTTGGCGTCTCAGCCCCTAAATTTAAACAACTAACTGCACACATGAACTTCTTAGTCAACAATCTTTATTAATAGGAGCTCCTGACATAAGATTTCAGTTTCAAGGTAAGCGCCATCCATACCTTTTATATATAATGAGAATGGTTTTGGTATACCGTAAGTGCATACCTAGTTGGTACCCCGCACTGGGTCAAAGCAGCGCATATGTGTCCAAATCAAACAAATGAACATTTTGCTCATATTCTACATGCATGGTATTAGAAAATTCATAAAGCTTATGATGCCTACTCATTTTGAGAGGAAGAGGTCATACAGGGTGGTTAGGGCTATTTTGGCCTTGGCCAAAGGAATGTGCATACAAGCAAGTAATTATTTTTAAAGTTGGACTCAGTAGTAACAAGTGGGATATGAATCAGAGCTTTGACATGATCTGGTCATAACCTTCAAGTCCCTTCTCTCTGAGATTTATATTGGGTATTTTCTAAAATGTCCTTCACCATAACATGTTGGAAACAGATGTCTGTTCTATTCTACGCCTGCCTGCCCTTTTTATATGATTCTTAGGTACTGGAACGTTTGTGTTGCCTTCAGGGCACTAGGTCATTTTGGGGCCAAACCTCAGCATACCAATCTTAACCATATAGGCTTATAAATATTGTTTTAATTTATTTCTTGTTGATAAATGTTGATAAGCTCTTTGACGATGTTACAGTTGCTATTGGAGCTTGTCCCCACTATTATATTATCCGTAAAGGCTTGCATTTATGAAGGGAATTCTTTGGGGTGTTTGATTCCCCAATTTTTTTGACACCGCTGCCAAAATTAGGATACTGCAAAGTTGAAAAGAATTGTTAATATTGGGTCACTTTGGAAATGGACCTGTCCAAATATTAATCTTCTTCAAAGTTTCTTTGGTGAAAATAACTATCATTAAAAGACTTGTATTAAGGTATCTATCCGAATTATTCAATTTAATTGGAATGTCAACTGCCTTCATTGATAATTTCAGGAAGGGTCAGGTTAGCAGGTTGTAAAATTTATATCTTGAAAGCTTCAAGTAGCCATTTCCAATTCTGCGCATGTCCTGGACCACGTTTTAGACTGATCAATACTGGTCATATTTTTGACCCTTTATGAACACATTTTGGGAATTATAGAGATTCTGGGTGCCGTGAGCATCAACCAATAAGAAGTATTTTCATAAAAATCTAGTAATTGGAGTCTGACAGAGCTATTGGGCATCAGTTCCAAAAGTTGCCATAGACACTTTTCTTATACAAAAGTACAATACATGTTTATTGCCCTCCCATTATCTGACATCCTGCGCTAAGACAAAGGGTAAATAAGCAGGCCATTTTAGGTGTAATGCGATAATGAATTGCAAAAATCAACTTTTACACAAAATATTGGGTCCAGTTACCTTGAACTTTCTACGCTCTCTTTAGCACCTGCTTGACTTCTTCTACAGTGACTTTAAATACTAGGTTATGTTTTTTCTTTTCCAAGAACATTCTCAACACCTGCTTAGATATGATAATAGAATTTTCAATTGTTAATTTGCTGTTTAAAACATATCTTGAAGCACGTCATATAACCATTATTTCTCACTCTTTATGATATCAGAGTTTGGTAAATATGATTCCATCAGCTTTTCTACCTGCCATAGCCTAGTATGAGATTGAATTTCCTTAAGATTTGCCAGGTTCTATTTAGTCATAAAACTACTAGGGTTTGGTAGTGTAGGTTGCAGTTTTCTGGCGTTCAACGTCTTACTGTAAATCAACGCCTTATACTTCTTATGTGTCTTTTGATAAATACTCAATTATCCCTCACTGTTCTGCTGAGTGAGCTTGAGTGTTTCTTAGTACATTTTAACTTCTTTACAGCAACAGTTTACTTGAGAATTTTCTTCTTGTACATGGTACTTCTCATTTGAGCTTATAATTAATCCTGCTATAGTGGTCAAGGCGGTCAATCCTTGGGTTCTAGTATAGATGGACGATAATTCAGTTGAATCCAACTTTGGCAGCTTGGCGCAATTTGGGTCCTTTAGCTTAAATGGCAATATATATTATTTTTTACACTTTAGTGTTTTTTTCAGTTGATGATCAACTATATGACCATGTGATCGTTTTTGGCGTTAATGAGTACTATTTTATCTAAGGTCAGTAATTTTAGGTCAGATGATACCAAGATAAAGTCCAGTTGGGATCCAATTTCCAGTTTGCATTGCTGGTAAAGGTCCTTTTAATTAAACTTGAGGGGTTGTCATCCTCATCATCTATTATCAGATTCATTTCAAAGAGCATTAGGTATTTGGAAATATTAACATCATTACTGTTTGGTATTCTTAATGGGAACATATTTCAGCTTTTTTAGGTTGAATAGTTAGTGTCTTCTTCTAGTGCCTTAAATTCTTGGGTTTAAACTTCTGATATATTTCCTAAAAATTGGTTCTCTTTATTTTCATTAATTTATAAAATGCAATCACCTATTAGAATTTTGAAAATGTATTTGTTGTGTGCCCTAAATAAAACTAGAATCCTACCAGCATG